GTCTGTTTCAAGAGATTTAAGGTTTCTGTCGGCAAATAGCAGATTTGTATTGTCAGTGAATAAATAAAATGCTAATTTATCTGAAGCTTTGTAAATGTCATTGATATAAATAAGAAACAGCAATGGCCCTAACACGGAGTCCTGTGGGACCCCACACAGGGTTTTTTCTTTTTGGGATAAGTTGGATCCTATTTGTGTGGTTTGGACCCTTCCAGACAAGTACGATGAAAACCAGTCGTTTACAACTCCATGAATTCCATAGTGATTGAGTTTATGTAACAGGATCGAGTTGTCTGTGTGTTTCTGTGTTGCTGTATGTGTTACTTTAAGAAGTCTTAAGTACGCGATACTGTTAGTCATTACAGTATTAAAAATCCTAAGGATGACTGCTCAATCCTATTAGCCTGGTTGTTATTTTGGGCAACCATGCACTTTATTTTATTTGTTTTATTACTTTTTTGTAATGTAAACTTAATTTAATTTGAAGTTGTTGTTGTTGATAATTCTTGCCATCAAGCTCAAAGTTGTAACCAACTGATGAGTAAAAGCATAGTTAGTGGTAAAAGGTAACTAAGACAACCCTATGAAAGGCCATAGGGGAGCATGACAAGACGGAAACACATGCACTGTAAGTACCACACATTGTCCTATACAAAGCCTTAGAAAAGTTTTCTAAGGCTTTGTATGGGACAACGGGAGGTACTTACAGTGCACGCATTTTCTGTCCTGTCATGAATGGAGCCACAAAGGTTGAGACCAATTGAGTGAGAAAGGCAAACTAATAAAAAATGGCTTGGCACCAAACAGAGCATAATAGAACTAATCACCCTCAAAAATGTAGCCACCCACCATTTCTAAAGAATTACCTGGCCTATGTTACATTTCCTCACACTCAACCTCATAACAAAGTTGTTACATATCAGCTTCTAGCTTACCCTTTTCCTTAGCTGGCACCTTTTCAGCTTGTGGTGTTTTTGTAGTGTTGTTTATCTTCCTTGGGGTATGCTTTGGAGTTCTAACATGAATTATCCTTTTCACAGAGACCTGTTCCATGTTTGATATAGACTTCCTAGAGAGCCTTTTATTAACAGGATGAAGGTTGTAATTCTCGTCAAATTTATAGCGAACATAATAAAAACCTTCTCGAGAGGAACTTTGCAAATAATCTGGAACTACATCATGCGGTTTTAACCTTAGGACATTACACTTTCTCCGTATGGCTTCAGCTTTAATATTTTCATTTCTAAAACTACAACAATCCTCACTAGGTAGCAATAATTCTGTCCAATGTTCTGGGATGTCGACAGGTTTTTTCCCTTTGAGTTGTGAGATTTCACCGTATCTGCAATACCGCTGTATTACTGCTCTGTTAGGATCTTTAGATTCTTCAATTTCATACAACTTCTGTACTTGTGCAATAAAACGCCGCCCCGCGTCTCCGTGTATAACAACATCATCTCCACAATTGATTGAGGATCCGTTAACTTTGCATTTGCTTATGAACAGAGGGAAATATATGGGACGATTTTAGAAGTTAAGTAGGCTAGATTTTGACTCTACACTGTCGTATGGCATTTTGCGCGCTCTACGATTCATCGAAAACATATCTAACATTACCTGTAAAATACTTTTCCATCGTCTATAGTCCCATTACCAATCCATTCTAGGGTATTAGTGGAGATTTCTCTATTTTTTTTCATTGGCATCGTGCATAAGTATGGCGGTAATCTGAGCAAATAAACTCCGAAACTACTCATAAGAACTCGAATCTGGCCGCCATTACATTGTCACTAGCAGGAGAGAGAGCTGGGGAGAATCTTTCCCAGTCAGTCGCACATTTCCTGTGACGTATTTGCAGCGCGGCAATCTCTGATGTTATTTCTTTCATTGATATCGCAGAAAAACATTTTTATTTTTTCATTAATTCAGGGACTGTTTTCATCTGCGTGTAAGTGCAGAGAGAATAATTTATGGAGTGCTAGTAAAAGAAATTTTTTAGAATGATTCATAATAGACACAATCGGCTAACACGTCACGTGGTTTGAATTGGGTGTTTACATCACAAAGCGTCAGAAAATGGCGTCGCGAACTTGCTTCTGTTGTAAAGATCATGTTGGATGTTGCTCTTGTTTTTTCACACAAGGAAATTTTGAATGGTCAAAATCTTTGAGAAATTTTCCAAAGGTATCTCTTGATACAATTTCGAAGTGTTTAGAGAGTGGAGGAAAGAAAAATGCCGGCGAGAAGAGTTATAAGTTTTTCAGAGAAGGCTATGTGTAT